CTTGATCATAAGTGGTTTACTCTGTTGCAACCACGCTACGAGAGTATAAAAAACAATAAGTATTTTGATATTGTTAGTTGTTTTCTGCAGTTATAATAACGAAAAAGTCGGGTATATTAAGTTTGCCCGCAGAAGTTTCGTCACACCCAGAAGAAACGTATAAAAATAAGAAGTATTAGTACGAGGTGTGTTCAAAGGAAAGGTGAATTTGAATTCTTTTGAAAAGTACTTATTTATTCATCAGAATCTCAGTTTGTCCCGCTTATTTAGGGCTGATTACTTTGCCCTTGGATAGATTACTTGCCGCCAACGAAATTTCTAATCCTGGAAGCACTTCTAAATACGTTTTTCGGTGTATGGCCTATCAGCTCTTTCTTCGATTCTGTCTTGATCTCTTTTTCATTGAGTTTCATTCAGTTTCGGGCATAGAAAAAAGTCGCAGGGATTCAAATCTGGTGGTTTGAGCAAACCCGAATCGTTGTTGACGTTCATCAACAACTCCTTGAGCCATTACTAAGCGGAACATTGCTTGTTTGTTCAAAAATTTAAGCAATTTCGGAACAAACTTTGCTGCCATACGATTCATGGCCAAAACATTCGAGAAAATTTAATGGCATGAGCCGATATGCCAACATCCTCTGCTACTTCCTTAATAGTTATTCGACGATTTTCGAGAACAATTTTTTTCACTGTTTCGATGTTTTCTTCGCTTTGTTGACGTGGTCACACCTCCAGGATGCTCATCGTCATCAACATCTTTTCGGCCTTCTGTATAGCGCTTGTACCACTTATGAACACTTTTTTGAGACAAAGTGGACTCACCGAATGCCACAGTCAATATTTCAAGTGCCTTGGAGCACTTTATTCCACTTTTAACGCAAAATTTAATACATATTCTTTGATCCATTTCTTTCAAAAGTCAAAAATTGAATGCTAATGCAAGCACATGATAAACATATGTTTCCGATTATAACATTATTATCGGTAATCGAATGTACGGAGCCCGTAAAAAAATCAAAAGTCACCTTTTTTTGAACACACCTCGTATATATAAATAATAAGCGTGATGAGCTGATTCGAATTAGCATGTCTTCCTGCATATACGCGAACTAGTCTATCAGTTTTTAAGATATCAATTTGAAATTTTGCACACGATCTTCTCTTCGTAATAAGCTCGGAACTGCCGATATCGTACCACCATAGGATATAGCTGCCATACAAACTGTCCGTTTAATATTAAGGAATTTTTTGTATTTGTGAAGGGTATTATACCCTGAGCAGCGTATATTAAGTATGCCATGTTTGTAACACCCAAAAGGAATTGTCAGAGACGCTATAAAGTACAATATATATTGACCATAAAAAAACCTGTTCGTTCATTTGTCTGTATATACATATGCAAATTAGTCTCTCAGTTTTTGGGATAACAATCTGAAATTTTTCACCAGTCTTTTCTCATTAAGAAGCTGCTCAATTGTCGGGATGGCCGATATCAGACCACTTTAGCGTATAGCTGTCATACAAACCGAACGATCGGAATCAAGCGCTTGTTTGGAAACTTTTTTATTTGACGAGATATTTTCTTGAAAATTTGCATGGGCTATTGTTTAAGGCAATAATGCAATATCCGAAGAAATGGTTCAGATCGGATCTCTATAGCATATAGCTGCCATACAGACTGAACGATGGGAATCAAGTCCTAGTATGGAAAACTTTTTCATTTGACGAGATATCTTTATTAAATTTAGCATGGGTTATTGCAGGCAACGGTGCAATCTCCGAAAAAATTGTTTTGATCGAGTCTCTATAACATATAGCTACCATACAAACTGACCGATCAAAGTTTTTGTAATGAACCTTTTGTATTTGTGAAGGGTATTATAGCTTCGATATAAACCGAAGTTAAAGTTTTTTCTTGTTTTTATTATTAAGCATTACATATGTAGGTATTCATAGCGATGTCGAAGCAATGATACTTATATAGAAATCAAAATTGGAAATAATGGGCGAATTTGTGATTTATGGGTTATATGATATTGTTTCTGGACTTTTGGCAAAACAATTTGTTTCACCTCAACAGTTTCCCTTAAAAGTACATTTAATTAAAAAAAATGTTTTTAATTGATTTTAGCGAGACCGTCCCTTAATTACTCATTTACAGTTACTTGGTCGAAATTTTTAAAAGGATTATTCGTCTTCACCTAAAATTAATACGTACATATATACTCGCATATGTACTAATATACAGGGAACCAAAAAAAACTTGTACAGGGCGATGATTTAACTTTCCATTTCAACTTATCTGCTGAACTATAAAAACTTTTGAGTTGCATCCAAAAGTGTAGAAAAGGCCGTTTTAATTGAAATTAATTTTTTAAAATTTAACACTCTTTAAGGAAAATACTTTGTATGTGCACCTTTATTATGGTTTGCAGTCTTACATTCATAGAATCCACCAAATTTTGTGTAAGTTCAGGAGGTATATTTGTCCATATTTTTTGAAGAGCAGTCTTAATCTCATTTTTGCTATTAACTTTTCGCTCTCCTAACTTCGTCTCCATATAGGTCCGCAGAGGTCCAATGGGATTGAGGTCTGGACTCTACTGTGGGAGCACTTTTTTCACGTTGTACAACAACCATTTCTTAATCGCTACATCAGAATGTTTAGGGTCGTTATCTTGAATAAAGCAATAGCCACCATTTATATTGAATTGCTGACAACTTCTTCTAACTCTTTGACTTTACTTTCAGCCTGGGACGTACAAATAAAAAAATAAATAAAAATACGAAAAATACATAATATTCGCATATTGTTACTCTTGGCTGCAACTTAAATAGTTTAAGGGAACAGTACCTTCAGAGTCAAAACATCTCTCTGTATAAGTTTTTTTTTTGGTTCACTGTATTAATTGTTATTTGATTTATTGTGTACATAATTAAAACCATGTCATCAAAAAGAAAATGGTAAAGTTATTGACTACTACTGAATGCACATACATATATCATGCGTTTACATAGGATAAGAAATTAAAAACAGACATACTTTTATGTTTTACCGATACAACTTTTCAACAACAAATCAAAAAATGTTAGAAATAAACAAAATCCAAGTGCTCAAGGTAAGGTAACTTCAGTTGTGAATAAATAATTTTGTATTACATTAATTACATGTTTTAGTTTAAATGTGTCAAATTCGCCCTCTTATAGAATAGCGAAAAACTCACCTCGCCAATATTTTGGATCGCCGCTGCTGATGCCGCCGTTAACATTGTGGAATTGGTTGTAGGCGATGATGTCGATACAGGTGTGCTAGCATTGCTACTGCACCCTGTTACGGCGATTGGTAACTCCACTGTTGTTAGTGACGCTGATGATGAGGAAGATTTTGCCACTACAGTTGTTAATATATTATTACTATTATTCTCTTTGATTCCGTTAGTTGTCACTGAAGTTGTTGTTGTTGTATTATTATTATTATTATTATTGTTAACAATGCCGTCTGTCTGTTTTATATCCGATGTTGACGTCGTTGCTGCCATAATACCACCTGCTGCTGACGGCGTCGTCGGTGCTGCTACCGTTTTTGCAGTATTATCCATAATATAACGTCCCAGCTAGACCAGCTAATGCTGCTAAAAGCGAATTCTCTTTTCACTAGTATCGTCGTGACGATTTCGTGGACAAAGACGGGTTTATTGATTGTGCAGTTGATGGATATGATGATGACGACGGCAACGACAACGGCGAATATTACAGAGCTGTTGTTAGCGTTAAAAACTTTGAACAATTTTTACGACGTAACAGCGACGACAACAGTAACAAAAAAAAAAATTACTTAACATCATAAACAACACAAGTGTATGCTCATATCTTGAACCAAAAATGCACCATAACGGCCGACTGAATATCAACCAACTAGCATTAAATACACTACGACTAACGGATATTTAAAAAGTTGAATTGTAAAAGTAATAAATGAAGATAGTCATTTCCATAAATAACGAAATAAGATTATCCGAAGTGTGTACGAGAGAGACTGCGTATTGTGTTGTTAACCGTTGACATAATAATGTGAGAAGAATATATAAACAAAACAGAGTATCTCACACATTCGTCGTGTACTGGCCAAACAGGTGCGATCTTACGTATCGTATAACCTCTTGGACACAACACTAAGCTCAACTCTTTTTAACCCGCCAGAAATTAATGGTCATATATGTACATATATATGTATATATGCATATAAATAGGTATTTTATATGTGCAAGCAATAACTGAAATAAGCAGCAAAGTATTACAAACGACTCATTGATTACCTTCTACATCGCATCGAACGCTGCCATGTTCATCATTTGGTTTATACATACATACAGATGTATGTTTCAGAATGGGTATCCATGTCATATTGTTTGCTATTTCCTTAACCTATCTATTAGCTTCACATTATTGTAAGCATTCTAGCATTGTATCTGCATATATATATGTTTGTACATTAATGCAAACATGCATAAGTATGCATTTTTATAAGCCATATGTAGATACCTATAAATGTAAAGTATTTGTTTTACTTCTAAGGCTGAGAGAAACCCCAAAAGAGCACAAAAATATGTGAACCTACATATGAATTTGCTACATTTATCGATGTATACACATATATGTATAATATAATATACCATAGGATCTAGATATCCGTGTTATGAAGCATTTCACAATTACTGCATACATACATATGCACATATATCCAATGTGTACTCTAGTTGAATATATGGTTCCTGTACGAAGTTTGCATGAATTTATATACTCGAAAAGTAAAATATTTTGTCACCTGCAATATTAATACCAAAAAGTCAATTATGCCAGTTCCAAAATTTGGTTTCCATTGCTAAAAGTTTATGGCTTTAAAGCTTGTGCAATATTTAAAAAAGCGATGTGAGAAATCTCCACGCCCAGATGAAGGGAAAATTGACCCTTTTCCTTCAGTCGAACGCATATGGTACTTGTTAATTCTTTCGGATTTTAAGCTGACGTCGTTAAACTACAAACATATGTACATATTAATTCTACCAGCAATATATGTATGTAAACTATAAAGTATGACTTTGTCAGAAGGTCTCGTAGCAAAAATAGCGGGTGTGATAAATAAGGGATACTACCTTACTGCCGCAATAGGATACCAAACAATGATTATAACATACATAGTTTGGCCGGCTGCGGGAAAAATCTGAATTGAAAACTTAAATTGAAATCGAATGGGCTGTAAGCAAAATACAAAACTGTAACAATCCGTTTGTTGCACATTTTGTTAATACAGTTTATTAAATATGCACAAATATTAGGCTGATTACTTTGCCCTTGGATAGAATACACTTGCGCCAACGAAATTTCTAATCCTGGAAGCACTTCTAAAATACGTTTTTCGGTATGGCCATCAGCTCTTTCTTCGATTCTGTCTTGATCTCTTTTCATTGGTTTCTTCAGTTTCGGGAATAGAAAAAAGTCGCAGGGATTCAAATCTGGTGGTTTGAGCAAACCCGAATCGTTGTTGACGTCATTCAACAACTCCTGAGCCATACTAAGCGACATTGCTTTTGTTCAAAATTTAGCAATTTCGGAACAAACTTTGCTGCCATACGATTCATGGCCAAAACATTCGAGAAAATTTAAATAAGGAAACTCAATTTGGAGATTCGGCAAATTGTAAACCAGCATAAGCGGACAAAATGGGACCGGGTTGAAATTCAATGGCCATGATCTTCAAACAGTTTCTGCTGGGATATTTTCGTAGAAACCACCCCTGCAGTCGTCTGCTTAAAGCCCAACCGCCTCCTGGGAACATCAAGAGGTCCTTCCTTGATTACGTCGACGACATTGGAAAGTACGCCGACCAGACTTCGGACGCAACGAGCTTTAGACATGCACTGACTGCCATTCACACACTAACCACCTTTTGCATGCCCAACGAACCCCACACATCTAACACCCTTTTCCCTATGGTCCGACCCCGTCGAAACAGCTCGTTTCCTGGGCCTCCCGTTAGATGACCTCGACGACAACCAAACTGAAACTTACCACACAAGCGGGGATTAGCTAACCGTTACAACAACAACAACCCAAGCCGTTATACTTATACAAGTATGGTTATATCTGAATACTTGTTCACTCTTTCTATTTATCTGCAATACTAATAAGAATTTACATTTCAAACTAAAACATGCATTGCTGGCAGAATTAATAGGGACATCAAATTAATTCAAAGCGTAAAAACAGTTTTTATCACCATTGGTTTAAATCACAATTCACTGTTGTTGTAACGATTTTAATTTCCACAACAACCGGTTCTACGATACCGGAATTGACCTGGATTTTAGCCGGCCAAGCGCTGTTATTTCGAGGATCTACCCCTATCTGTTTGGATCGGTAAGTAATCACAAGCCATTGTGCAACGGAGTTTATTTACAGTACTTTGTGTTTGTTACGTTTTCTGGTAATTATTTCTAGAATGACTACGTTAATGATATTTTGTTTCAGTTGACAGCGTTTAGGTTAGTACTATTTCTTCAGTTATGATAAATAAATAAATAATAATCTTGGTTTTGTAATAAAAGGAAGAAAAGTTAAAATGGGCCGCCCCGTGTATTGCAAGTCTGCTGAACGGAATATTATGATATGTGATACTATACAAGAAAAGGAAAAGTATGAGTGGAAAATGGGTAAAATTATGGACCGCTCTTAAACCTGGGTATTTAGTGTTCTTCAGAACGTGAAAAAGCCCGACAGGAAGGAAAAACTAAACTTCAACCCGCTTCAACAAAATGTTTTACTGTACATATTGAATAATACAGTACTTCGTTTCCTGTTCCTACTTTTTGCTACTCTGAATGAAGTGTATTGATTTTTTATTTTGTTTACATTGATAATAATGTTAAATAAAGAAGGTATAAAATTTTGAATAAAATATATGTTAAAATTCGTCCATACACAAAAATAAGCTACAAATACCAAAAACATTGTTAAAGAAATCCGTCTCAGATAATTCTGTCACCAGTGAATGTATGCATGCTTTAGACATGTGCTATATTGATCGACTTCAGCTTTAGCTTTTATTTAGACTTTGTGATATCATAATTAGTTTACTATGATTTATTGTATTGTTGGAGGTAGTTGAATATAAAATCCTCATATACATATTTATGTATCCATATTATTTTAGTTATTTAATTTACAAATGTATTTGCCAGTAACTTTAAAACAACTTTTTGTCGAGTGTATTTCTAGTTCTTTCACTTGTCTAGAAGAATTCCGTAAATGCAAATGTTTGTCCATATGTTCATTTTTTATTATACTATTATTTGTTGTTTTTACTACTACTGCATTTCTATAGATTTGCTTCCTTTAGAATTTGTTTATAAGAATTATATCACACATTAACATTCACAATCGCATTCCGCTATAACACATATATTTTTACAGGTCTCTTATTTTATTTTTAATTATGCATTCACATTCGCAGAACATTAAGTTTAATTTTTGACATTTTGATGAAGATGTGAGGTTATTTCTGCAAAGATGAGAAAAAGAAAATAACAAGACTTTTATTAGAAATAATACTCAATATTGTTAGTTAAAACTAAAGAAGGTCTACCATAAATTTGACTTGGTTTATTAATAAAATACAAACAAATATCCTCCGTTTAAAATAATAAAATTGATCGTTTATCTATTGTATTATATCAATTTTCGAATATTTTAGTATTGCTTTAGAAAAAAAATTTAAAGACTTTCTTATTTAGTCATTTGAGTTTAATTGTGTATATTAAACTGTTGGATTATAAAATGTGAAATGTTCTAAGCTTTTATCTATGAGAAATAAGAGATCGTAATAGGTAATCGTAATAGACGGATTTCAACAACGATTACAATTATAATAGCACTAAATAATGCATATATTGCAAAGTTCAATATATGGCAATTATAACAGATGACACTAATCTGTTGAACGGCCGAACAAAAATATATTCTTGTAGGCGACAAAAAATCGTCATTGACCTTTTGGCGATATTATCTTTACAAAGGTTTGGTAAGATACACCACATCGACATCACACCCATGTTGCTGTCGCAATAAAAAAACAAATTGAGTGTCAATATGCGGGTTGACATCATGTGGATTTGATTGGTAAAATAACCAAACAATGTATACTTCCTGCTGCTGATGTTGCATCAGCATCTTTAACATTGGACACAAAATTCTAACAGAAATATTATGGTTCATTACTTGTATTACGTTAACGAATGTCATGTTTGATTACCTAGGTTTGGAGGTTGAATGAATGTTTGGGATCTTAAGTAGGATTTATCAGACCCTAGGATGTATATAAAGATTGTCGTGCAATTCACAGGAGTGACAAAAGCTTAGGATGCTTTGATGTTTACGACCACAACTTAAACATTATGTCTGGTTAAAATAAGTAAGTGGCACATTTTTTGTTTTGCAGACGTGTTAAGTTCAGTATGTAAAACTGTATCTTCCGTTGATCACACATTTTTCAGGTAAGATAATGTCGAGAGGGATGTAGACTGTGCAGAATTTCGAACCGCCTGAGTTTTGCCGACACCATTCTTCTAAGGTCCATTAACATGCTAGATCATTTTAGTCTTCGCACATTTTTGTAATTATACTTATCAATATAATTGTTTTTAATTAGTTTAATGAAAATTTATTTTGGTTTTTAATTCTTGTATATCCCTTTGAAATACAGAGTTAAGTACAATATTTTTTATATTACTTAGTTAATGGTAGGGAGTGAAATATAATATATAAATGGTAACATTTACGAAGGATTCATAGTGGTATAAAATATTATGTTTAAAGCTTGTTTTATACATTATTTTATGGAAAAAATCGTTTATGATACTTATATTTTTATCAAGCTTGTATTGAGGATTGAAAAACGTATCAGATTATGGTACATGGACATCAATTATTGCTGGTCTGCTGACACTGGACACTTTATACAATTTAAAAAAATGATATTACAAAGAGATCAACAAATCTGACAATCGAAAACAAGACTGAAATAAAACGACTGCTAAATGGAAGAACTGATCGGCTAGTTCTACGATACATACTCATATATACATAATATGGATATGTATGTGTACACATGCTTCCAAATAAAGCAACAAATATATAGAACAGCCGATCGTTTTTCAATAATGAAGACGTATGGCGGCCGAAGCCGAATATATGAAGATTGCAAAAGAGAAAACAACATTGAGTTAAATGAATGGTAGACAAGTGTAAAAAGTGGACATCGAAATGATTACGGAAAAATTTGCAAGCTTATTTTTTATGATAAATGAAATATTATACGCACCAGCAATTGAAATAATCGGTTAAATTTTTCCTTGCCCCGGTTTATATTTGAGAACATTAATTAATAATTTATTCTCAAAGGCATATGCACAACGAATAAACTAAAGAAAAAAACACACATCTATAATTAGGCAGAATTTGTAGTTGATCGAAAATTATATTCCGATTAGGGCTGCCACAATTTCTTGTTACTTTTTTGCTGTTGTTGTTGTCGTCGCTGCTGGCTACATACACCCGCGTATCATTCGTTTATAGAGTTGATTCACGTTTTTCAATATTTATTTTTATTTTAATTTTAAATAGTTACTAGACTTTAATACGTATTTATATTTTGTTCACGCACGCCTATAAAAGTTACCACAAATGATTTATTCTCACTTTACAATTTCTTTCTTGAAAATGCAACCGATTTTAACGAGACACGAAAGGGAATCGGCAATGTAAGAAAATCCTAATATCTTTGAACTTTATACTTTCAATGCAATGTATACATTTTCCTACGATGCGATTCCTCAATAAATCACCTTTAATCACGCCCACTATGAAAATTTTAAAAATTGTGGTTAGAACAACAAAAAAATTAAAGAAAATACTTGTAATTATTATAAATTTCACACACGCTACGTTGCAATCAAAAAGAGAGAACCAAATGAAGACTGACTAAATGGAAAAGAAGACGAAGACAGCAGGCCCAACGATAATGATGGGAATTGGCAACTATAATGACAAGAAGACGAAAAAGAAGAAACTGCTGAAAAGGAAAGCAGACCACAATGGCAACACTATTGCTAGCAGAGTTTCTCGAACAAAATCTATATTTAAAAATGTTTTGGTTGTAATCCAAGAAAGACATAATCATAATAGAGAATACTTAAGTTATGAAGCTCTAATTATGTCTCAATAATAATAATTGTATATTGCGAACCACCAAATTCAGTATGTAGCTGATATTCAAATACTAATACTAATCTGTATCAGAATTTTTAAAGTTATTTCTTTCCATAAAACAATCGATTTGTTAAAGCAGAGAATGTTAATGAATAGAGAAGTCGCAAACGTTAGCTGTACTAAAATGTTAATTGCTATGAGGGAACATCGAAAACGAGCAAATTCGAAATTAAAATTTCTCTATCCTATCAATTTACGCAACGAACTACACCACTCTATAAGCGAAATGTATATACATACATATGCACAAATGTTCTTTGGTATGCACATAAACAAAAATTAAAGTAATAAAAAGTTGACTTATGAAAAGAAAATGTAAGTAATAAGGGAAATAATAGAATTAAAATATCATATAATCAAAAAGGGTTATAAAAATAAAAAAGAGTATATAAATATATCTGATAGGATTTATACAAAAAGATTTGATTTAATTCTCTGTCAAGAGCGAGTGGAAATGTGGCATTAGGAGTATTTTTTAGTTCACAATAAATATTTCTCATCGACCCCATCACAGTTTGCAGTATTTTTTTAGAATAGTAACTAACAGATTTTATCCCTGTAACAAATAGTAATTTTTACTTGATTTTGATATAAAACATGCAGATAACTATAAAGATTTTAAAAGGTCAAGACATTACATTAAATGTGAGTTCCATTAATGCAAATCCATCCATTGATAAAGAAAAACTAATTTCATAGGTTGAGCCGCATACTTTAATATCGGAAATGAAAAAGGAAATTGAAAGTAAATTGCAAATACCATTGCCAGAGCAAAAATTGCTTCTGCTTGGGCGTACATTGAAAGATGAGAATACTGTTTCCGCATATCCAAATTTACATGAAGGGTGTAAATTAAATTTGGTAGTGATGCGTCCTCGAATAGAAGGACTACGAGAGGTAAGAGGATAAAAACATGAAAATAAATGGTTAATGCATCATATTAATAAATTTTCTTTTATGGTCGTAGATCCTGCAGAAATCATTTCGAAAATACTATAATGAACCACAAGCTGACAACTTGGTTACTGCTTTTATGACCGATTTTGAAACGAATTTAAAACAAATGAGCGTGGACGATATTGAACGTTTATCTGAGAGTTTATTAGGTGTATAAATTAGAAAAATCCAATAATATAATTGAAGTTTCTAAGTAAAAATTAATATTGATTTCTTTTATATTTCGTAGAATTAGGGTAAATGGGCCAGTAAACGGACATTTAACTTTTTTTTCTAATTTATTCTTCAGTATATGACAGGCAATCAATGATGTGGAAACATTTGATAGCAATTCAGGACATTTAACTATTTTTAAGAGAAGAGAGTATCAGTTTTTATAAACAAGACTAATTTTCTTTATTAAAGATTTTTTTTTGAAATAAGCCGCATTTCTTCAATAACCGGACATCAAACATCCAGTGTGCGGACATATATATTCTGTAAGAAAACAAAACAGTATTTAAGAAAATAATATTAATAAATTCATAAATTTTAATTGAAAGTTAAGAATCCACCATCACCCAACATGCGCCCACTTTCAGTACGGCCGAGAAACCAGCTATTTGGCATGCTGTTTGTTGTAACTTTTCGGTGCCATAAATTTCCCCGTCTTTGGACATAAAGAAAATATAGCTTACTCGCCAATAAACATGATGGGGCTTCTAAAATGTCCTAATTTTTACTATTCTTCAGAAAATTAAGCGGCTCGGAAAACTACTTTATAATTATTTACTCGTTAACTAAGCCTCTGTCCTTATTAATGGATTTAGCTTCTCTCAATGACAACCCAGGATTACGTGTTGAGAATAGCGGAAACCACTTTTTTCCTGGCCTTCCATCTTTAAACGACATTTTTTTTACCACTGTCTTTGATTATTTTCTGGACTGCATGCCCAACGAACCGCACTTATCTAACACCTCTCTACCTATGGACCGATCCCGTCGAAACAGCACGTTTCTTGGATCTACCGTTAGATGACGTTGATGATATCCAACCTAACTACCCAAACGGGGATTAGTTAACAGCTACAACAACAACAACAAATTTGTTTTCTGGATCGTGTTCAGAAAATCGTCCTTTTTAATAAGAAACCCACATTTGCACAATTTTAATATCCATGAAACAATGATATCTTCTTCTAACTTTGTCAAATATGATTGGGATCCCAATTTGAAGGAAACCTCAGACATTTTTCTGTTGAGGCGATCTTGAATGGCACTTAGGAATTCCACAAATACTGGATGCTTTTCGGAAGCTTAACGTATTATTTCAGAAATCTGCTAACGCCTTCTTCAAAGCTTCTTTAGCCGGAACACGTTTTTTATGCCCCTTTGTTTATTACCCATTCTAAAAATTGTTTATATTAAAATAAAACTTATAGAGCATTGAAACAACTGCCTGTCTGAATACTGGAATACGTGCTTTATCTCAATTTCTAGTAACCGGACATTGGAATTTAACATAACTATAATTTCATTAAAGTTGAATTTATCAATAAAATTAAGTTTTTTTTATTTAGATTATTACCAAAACTAAATATTTATTAACATGCTTTTAGACACAATAACTTATAGTTCCTGCTTGCAAAAATCTCTAGGCCATTAGCAAAAAAAAAATAACTGAATCACACATTGCGATACGTGCACCAACTAAAATTTCTTTAAATAAGTCAGCGACGCCATTATCAGAAATCTATGCTTGTCATACCGTTAGAAATCGTTGGCTGCTTCGATTCAATTTTTTCTAAGCATCCCAGTTTTAACGATTTTCTTAGTTTAAATGCAAATCCTGAGTAGTGTCCGATCACTGGGTGGTGTCCGGTCACCGGCACACTTACCCTGTATGGAAATTGAAAGGATATAACAATTTTTTTAAATATTGGTATTTGCTTTATTTATTCGGTACGTGTTCCAGATAATAAAATAATTGTTTTAGTTAAAGTATTTCCTCAAACCTTTTCGTTATGATTATGTTTTTTTTTGATAAGTTGTAAAGTAAACATTCGACAATAGGTAGCAAGCCCGTTCCAAAAAAAAAAACAATGTTTATATTTTTCCGTAGGGAACTAGAACGAATGGCCCTGAACTTTATTTTAATACAGCAGACACATTGTATTTTTCTGTCAACAGACCAGTTGTCGAAAATGGTGATAATATTATTTTCAAACATCAGATCAAGCGTAGAACTGTTACCAAATCCATTTCCTTTCAGATCACGCCTTGTTTTACAACAACAAAAACTTAAGGTTTATCATTTGACTATCAGTAGTGATTGACTTACTGATTTTGGTGTGGTGAGTTTTGCTATTTATAATAGACAGAGTGATTTTTCTTTAGTTAAATTGTTCTTTATTTTTTGGACAGCATAAGACAACTCTATATGAAACATTAATCTTCTATCATTAAAAGAAGTATGTACAGTAAAATATAAAGGTTTTAGAACTCTATTAAAGTTTTCCATCAATATTTTATAATACATTTTTGTTAATACTATCCCATAGTACTTGATGAATTTTTACTCAACTGTCACTCTGAAATTTTAGCTACGAATCGAACCACACAGAGTAAACGGAAAGTGAAAAAGATATCACAAAACTTTAAAATGCATTCTCGTATCTGTACCGTTGCCATTCCTCAATTTTCAAGGAATTTGATTCGTGCGTTCTCCAAGTCAGCAAATAAAATGGCTCCAATAAAGGTTTGTTATAAAAATGAAGTTTTTATACAGATTACTAAAATGTTTGTATATTTTATTATGTTATTACATAACTTTTTATAGTATATAATATGTTCTTATGTTACTACAAACGTAATAGTAAAACATTGCATTGCAATATTGATTTCTGAATTCGGTTGAAGATTTTTGTATTCAAGGTCATGGGCAATATCGACCTATTACGCTACTTTTACCTAAAACTAGTTATAATTTATTACAGTGTGTTCTTATGTATAAATACTATTGGCTTACATTTGTAGGTTGGTGACAAACTCCCTTCAATAGATCTCTTTGAAGATTCGCCGGCAAACAAAATAAATACCGGGGATTTGACATCAAATAAGAAAGTGATAATCTTTGCAGTGCCTGGTGCATTTACGCCTGGCTGCTCCAAGGTGGGTATAAGTGCTCAATTTATCAATTTTCGATGATTCATTATAACTTTTTTTCAGACCCACTTACCAGGGTTTGTATCGAATGCCGATGCGTTGAAAACTGAGCAAGGCGTAAATGAAATTGTTTGCGTTTCTGTAAATGATCCATTTGTTATGTCTGCTTGGGGTAAAGAACACAATACTGCCGGTAAAGTACGCATGTTGGCTGATCCTTCCGGCTTATTTGTTAAGTCTTTAGAATTAACAATTGACCTACCACCACTGGGTGGTTTACGTTCAAAACGTTTCTCAATGGTTGTAGAAAATGGCGAGGTGAAGGAGTTGAACGTGGAACCCGATGGCACTGGGCTAAGCTGTTCTTTGGCAAACAACATTGGAAAACATTAAATATTTTATGTATGTTCACGTACATATGTAATATGGCGTATAGTTTAAGAGACTACTGTTACAAATGAAAATATAGTATCCGTAGATAAATATACATACGAATATTATGAGTAAATGGAAATGGTTTCTAGTTTAATGAAGAAAAGTTTCACGTTTCGCTTGCATTTTTTAAAATTTTCTTGGTCAACTTTCAAGTAGTTGAATAGAGTTGTAAGATATTCAGCATAATACATTAAACATTTTGGCCAAGAACGTGATATTATATGTTGGCATTTGTTCACGTGTAGAATTATTGTGAATGGGAGATAAATGGTAAAAGCGTTATCATAATAATATAGCCTATTCCAAAAGTGATGTTTATATTTCTACAGATGTACAATGCTGTTCTTAAGTCGTATAGCAATTATTTGTGTGCATTTTTTGATTATTGCTCAAAATAAACATACGATAAATGGCCAAGGCGTGGAAAATGAAAGTGATAAGTCAGTTCTATCGGCAAGTCTTTGTAAGTAAATATTCTAAAAAGTTTGGATTTAAAATATATAATTATAAAATATTCTACAGATTCAAAGATATTTAAGGAACGCCGTAATGAGCATCACACAGTAATAAAAAAAATGATTGCATCAGAAAATTATGAAAAAAACTTTAAGCTGCTAAAGCTAGCGTACGGCAAAATCTTTCAAGTAATATAAAACCAAATAAAATTGCATTTACATAGCAAGTTATGACTATTTATATTTCTGACCATAGCTTATCAGGGACAATAATATTACAATAACATCATATGCCTATGAACCATTACGGGATGGATTTGCTCCAAATAGTGATTTACAGGAGGCAGTCAGCATAGTTATGGAAAACTGTTGCATAGCTGCCGAAAGTCTGATACATTTTCCAGAAATAAGTTATAGAATTTTTGGTAAACAGTATTCGAAATGGAAATTGATGCTGAATTGGTGTTATGAGTTTGTTAACTCTTTTCCACATATTATTGATGAATCTACTGCCAAATTGATGTCAATTTTATTTCAGGAGATTAACGAAGAGTTTCGTAACCCTGACTATGTAAATCCTTACCATGAAGCACCTAAACATCAAGGAGAAAAAAAGGAGAATAAACGCCATAAGAAGTTTAAGAAAGGTCCATCTTTGAGCGGAAGTAAAACAGAGCTATAAAATTTTTAGTTTGCATTGTATATTACGTATAAATCCTAAAGTAAAATGTAAAATACCATAAAATTAACGATTGTCGGTATTTGGGGCAATTTTTTGCTGCAACAATTTGCCATAACCTCCTCGCCCGGCATCATAGTCTGTTCGGTATTCATCTCGCACTTGCCCACCAGTCTTGCCGCGACCATATTGACGCCCCTCAATAAAACCTGCGTCCCAATCTACTCGTATTAGGCGATCATCCAGCCGTGTTCCGTTCACGTATCTAATATAAGAAATACTTCAGTAAAACTCAGAGTATTTGATTATTTTACTTACCGCATGGCCATTTCTGCGTCTGTACGCATATAATATTCAACAAAACAAAATCCGCAAGGTGTTTTTTTGTACTTATCTAAACCCATCACTATACGTCTCACTTCACCGCAGCGGGAAAATAATTCATGAATTTGTTCTTCGGTTGTGTAAAATGACAGATTCCCCACGTATAGCGTACACGATTCACGTAGTGAACGCTCTTGATCAGTCCGTGAGCCCTATAAACAAGTGAGAAAGTTAAACTTTTTATACACAACATTAATATAATAAATACTTACTTTAAAATGCTGATCTCGGTATGAGCTTAAGTCTACTGATCCCGCTGACATATCTTATGTTGAGAATTTTATTTCAATAAGTTTTTGCGGTAAATATTTGTTTACGATTGTAAAATAGTCGGCACCTTCCAATGAAGAAACGTCAGTTTCTACTGAAATGTCAAATTGCATTTTAGCGTTATGGATAGTTCACAATAAACTTGAACTACGATAAGAAAAATTAATATAGTGAGCTTAGTTGCTTGCCAAACATAAATTAGTACACCAACGAATTAAATAAATTACACTATACCAGGGAAGGATTATAATAATTAGAATTATTTAATTATTGGAATAAATATGGAGCTAAAATACCCACGCAGTTATAGATATTAATGATGTGCAGGTAGAAACGGATGAAATGTCACAATTGCTGCTGGAAATTATGGATAAATTTCATCTCGCAAAGATCATCTAAAGATATATAATATATCAAAAAAAAGTGCAAAACGAATAAGACAGAAGTTGAAAAATCAAGGTGCGATATTGTCATTAATCATGCTCAGTAGAATGGATGGTAGTGCAGAATTAACAGAGACACAACATAAGAAATATCAAAAGCTGGCTAGTGAATACTCAAAAGTACGCCCCTACACACAAATAATTCGTTTAACTAAATTAATTTACATTTTTACTTCATTTACTGAAGCTGCGAGCACGGGCTGGTGTACTTCGAAATGCTGTTTTGGATGAACAATCAAAAGGAGAAAGTTTACGTGAACAACTACGACAAAGTGAAACTGCACTCCGTCGATCTGAGCAGGAAGTCGATTCATTAGGTTTTCGTAATAGGCAACTCGAGCACAGAGTCGCGGCTCTTCAAGATGAAATTGCAAAAAGGGAGGGACGTACTAAAACTGACAAAGAATATGTACGAAAACTTTCAATAGCTGGAAAAGGGCATGTTCTTGGAGCAGCTGGGGAAGAGGATATGGGACAAGATGCTCTAATTTTCGAAGAACTACAAAAGAAAATCATGGAAAATGCAGAATTAACTACAATGGTTATCTTAGTGTCTTTTTTTATTACATATAATTGATATTATTAATGTTTTTCATTCAAGGTTGACGACAAGGAACATGAGCTACAAATTCATGGTGAACGCTTGCTGAATTTGCAAAAAATGATAGAAAAGCGAAACACAGAATTCACAGAGACCGAAAAGAGTTTCCGCCGAGATTTTGAAGTATTGCAGAAGAGAAACGCAGAGCTCGAAAGTAAGCTCGTTGACGCAATTAGTATGGTAAAAGTGAGAACAGTGTGCATTTATATGTGTAACTGACATTATATATTCTTGCAGTTAGGTAGTGAGGATGCTCTGAGTGCTACTGGTAGTGATCATACACCATTACATGTTGCTGCGCAGCATCATGATCAATCAACATTGTCTACAACATCAGTACCAACAGCTGAAGAACGTATTTGCAGTCTAGAAAAAGAAATGGTTCACTGGCGGACACAATATGAAATTTTAAAAATTAATGAAGCTGTAATGCTAAACGACACAAAAAATGGATTGTATGAAAATAATATTACATGCTCGTCAGCTATTGTTCCAGAGTATAGCAATTGTAGCTGTAGCAGTACAGCAGCTGGTTTGATGGTTAAATCTAGCTCAACGGAAGTAAAAAGGTATTTAAAACTTGTAATACAACCTTTTAATGTTGAATACAAAAAAAAAACATATTTTCTTTTATGCGTGTTAATGAAAATAATTTATAAATGATAGCTCACGCGACTCAAATAAAGAACCAACATTACCGCCCACAAAAGAACAACTTCTTTATAACAATTTTTGCCAAAAATTTGAACATCTTTTGAAATCTAAGTACTTGGCTGAATCTCGAATGTTTTCATACGAAACGGAAGTGGAACATCTTCAAATATGTTTGGAAAATGCGACGCATGAGTTAAATTCAAAGGATGAACAGATAGAAAGCATAAATCAGGCATTAAAAATGCTAGAGGAGGATTTGGTAGTAATTATTTTTATTTAAGAAAATAACCATATATTAATAAGGTGTTTTTAATTAGGCTACCACACGCATTAATTATGAAGAACAAATCAGTGTGCTTACGGAACAGGTAATTAACTTAAGTGAGCAGCTAGCCGCGTCAAAATAGAAGCAATTGCTTTGAAATCGTTTGGCACATAGCTAATTTAACTCGCAAATAAACACCGTTCAAAGATTAAACAATAATTGTAAACTTTTCGAAGATAGATACCATACTTGAATATTGTAACGTGCGCAAGTATATATGATCGTATTTTAATTAACTTAGTATACCGTAATGGTTGATCATTTAGTTATCTTAAAATAACAACATGTTTTCTTGAATGTTAATACAGTGACTACTCTAGATCCCTCGAACGATTCCTAAATACACATTGTGTATCTTGTAAAACTTTGTAAATTAAAAAAGCATATATTTAATAACAACCGGAATAATTTATATTACTATATGTGTAACTTTATAACATTTATAAGAATTGATAAATGGCAATATATATGACATTTATGAAAACAGAATAAAAATCAATTTGACATCGATATTTTCATAGTTACTTCTAATCTAATTTGACAGAAAAAGAGGAGCCGCATGAACAACCGTGCTCCGCCTGTGGATTAGCTAGTATTCGAAAACCAGATCTGATTAATTCCGTATGATAGTCGACAGTAGCACCAGAGCAGTACTCTAAAGATAGATTATCAATAACAACTTTTGCATTTCCCTCGCCGAAAACAACATCATCATTTTTTAATTTGGTGTCCAAATCAAATTTGTATTGAAAACCAGAGCAACCCCCACCTTCTACAGTTATACGCAGAAATGCTTTACCATTTTCTGAAATTTCCTGTAGCCGTTTAATACAAGAATTACTAATCACTAGCTCCGCATCGCCTGAAGGAGGCTTTGAATCTTCAGAGGCGATCTTCGGGTTAACATCAGTTTTCATCGTAGATAAGTTTTGTAATGCGTTACGCGTAAATACAGATATTTGTCTATAAAACATTTCATATAATTGAAATACAGTTGCAATTAACCTTCTTTTTACCTGTGTCGCATAGGACTAATCCAGTTTCGTAATACAAAAGCCATTTGTTAATCGTTCCACACTTGTAAAGTTTATATTTATGAATTATACAGATTTTTAATTTCAATTGTTAATAATTTCCTATGTTAAACGAAAATGAAGTCAAAACAAAACTTGCATAATCACACTGAACACCCTGCTTAACAACAGCTGTTTTAATAAAGAATCCAAACAATAAATATTGAATAAAGAGAAAACTAGAAGAATTTTACAATTTCGAATAGCCTTGCTGACATATCCACGTGCATGAAATATTTGAAAACAAAATAAAGTTAGTATTTAGTTCATTATAGTGAATATAAAAAATAATTAATTACAAAGATGGCAAGAAGGCCTGAACATTTGGCACCACCTGAGATTGTAAGAGCATTTCGTAATTTCACAGCTAAGTACTAACTTTTTCCTAAACCTTGCAGTTCTACAATGATGATGAAGCTAAAAAATACTCTACCAAGTAGGTGCAATGGAATGCAGGAGTATTATATTAATAATTTATATTCCTATATTTGTAAATTTAATATTTCTTAAAGCACACGGATAATAGAAATTCAAATTGAGATGGCAGAGAGAGCCTATGAATTACTTACCCTAAATGAAGATGAGCAGTGTTTGATACTGGATATTGGTTGTGGCTCTGGTCTATCGGGAAGTGTGTTAGAGGACAATGACCACATTTGGGTTGGTGTTGACATATCTAAATCAATGTTAGACATAGCTGTTGAACGTGATGTAGCTGGAGATCTTGTGTTGGCAGATATGGGAGACGGTATGGCATTCAGGCCTGGTACCTTCGATGGCGCCATATCGATATCTGCCTTACAATGGTTGTGTAATGCGGATAAAAGTACACATAAACCCCATAAAAGGTTATATAAATTCTTTTCAACTTTATTCTCCTGTTTGACACGTACAGCCCGTGCTGTATTTCAATTTTACCCGGAAAATGCAGACCAAATTGAAATGGTCACCTCACAAGCCATGAAAGCTGGATTTTATGGCGGCTTAGTGGTGGATTATCCCAATTCTACCAAAGCAAAGAAGTATTTTCTAGTATTGATGACGGGTGGTACTACACCGATGCCAAAAGCGTTAGGTAAGTAAATATTGCGATTGCGAAAGTTTTGAATCTAATGCTAATTTTAAATTTCAGGATCGGAGGAAGAAGAAAAACGAATAAATTATATTAAAAAGCGTGATATGTGTCGAGAAGCTCGAGGTAAACCGATGAAGAAATCAAGAGAGTGGATATTAGCTAAAAAAGAACGTAGGCGACGCCAGGGGCGTGACACCCGACCAGACACAAAATATACGGGAAGAAAACGTAGCGGAAAATTTTAGTTCGAAAGATCAAAATAATCTATTATTTATATTATAATTTACCTAAATTAGCAACCCTTTCTTTACAATTCTACGTTTAAAATAATAACAAAATCTTCGAAACATACAGTAAAAAATTTTACATTGCCACTTATACATTTCTTTATCACAATTACGTTTCAGCAGGAGGGGATTTGGTACCAATGTTTCGCTCTGAAGAAGCTCGAATGGCTCGCTCTTTTGGTGCATCTAGTGATGATTCAGTGTAGAATATTGCATACATTGCCACCACTATGAACACAAAACCGAATAGTACCATTTCGTTTTGTAAAGCTAGTACATGATTGCGGCGATGTGTTTGATTTCGATCAAATCGCGCTTTAGCATCTTTTCGTCTTTGGAAAGATTTTCCGTAGTGTGCGCGGGACCATTCATCAAAGTCATATATAGGAGTTCGTCCCATTTCATCAGCAACTTGCGATTTTTTAAAACGAGATTTGTAAAACTTCGTTTCTGGATCATCTTCTACCTCAGGCTCATATTCGGCTGGCCTTTTATACGTAGCTCCTGCTGTATGTATAACACCTGTAACATGACAATGGATTTAAATTGCAATTTTTGAATGAAACAATGTGTATACCTTTGTCATATAACCTTCTAAGTCGGTAGTTACCAAGTACTTCATATGCCTGCGAAATTTCACGAAATTTTTTTGCAGATATTTCACATCCTTTATTTTTGTCTGGATGATATTGCATGGAAAGCTTATAATATGCTGACTTTATTTCATTCTGTGTCGAGCTCTGTGTTATTCCAAGAGCTTCATAATAGTTGGTGCTTCTCCATGGAGAACTTGTACAAATATGCTGCACATTACTAATATTGTTAAAAAAGTGCGTCTGTAAGAAGCTGCGAAATATTAACTGACACTTGGTGTTATACATTGCACGATCCACCGAGTGGGCTGCCCTTTCTCTGATTTTTTGGAGTAGTTTTTACTACGATTATATCATTATGGTACGTTCAAGGGATTTTTAGAATGTTTGACAAAATACACATTACAGCTGAAAGTCTCTCTGCTGTCATTCAAACATTTTCTATTTTCTTAGTTCTCTACGATTAAAGAATGGAATGAGTAATACGATAAAATGACAAAGCAAAATAGAGGATGAAATAATTGAAAACAAACGAAAGTAAAAAGTAGAGAAAAATGTCGACTAAATTTATTAATAGATTTTTCATTGGTTTTTGAACAGGCATTTTAGCATGAAATTTTCTAAATGAGCTTTTCTGAGTTTTCATGAAGATTCGGGAAAACTGTCATTTTGTGCGAGCAACGTAGAATGTTATCGAGAATATTCGACAGTCAGAAAATCTAAAATTATTCATGCGCTACAACCTTATAAAAGTGGCCAGCAGACAGCAGATGGAAGATTAGTTAAATCTCGAAAAAAGGCGTGACATAATATTGTATTTATATACCTTATTTAACTTTAATTATAATTATATTTAAAAGTTTGATTTATTACAAATTAAATAATGACTGTTGAAGGCGAAATAGAAGCTGTTACCTACAAAGACGAAGGCAATAACGCTTTCAAATCTGAAAGATGGGAGGAGGCTGTAAAATGTTATACAAAGGCTATAGCAGCCGGTGAAAAGCATAAGGAGTTACCCATTTTTTATAAAAATCGAGCTGCAGCTTATTTAAAACTAGAGAAATATCAAGATGCTCTCAATGATTGCACCGAGTCTTTACGTATTTCAACAAAAGATCCAAAAGCTTTGTTTCGACGTGCGCAGGCCTATGAAGCATTGCAGAAATTTGAGGAGGCGTACAAAGATGCTACTGATTTATTTAAAGAAGATCCTACGAATAAATCAGTACAGCCGATGTTGCAACGCTTACATCGAATAGTGCAGGAGCGTGTGTCACAAAATGCAAAAACTTCAACTAAGGTATATATTATATATAATACCTCACAGAAATAGATTAATAAGATATTTTAGGTCAATCAAATGATGGATATCAGTTTTGATATGGGAACTCCTTTAAATAAACGTCGTTCGGGTGCCAATAATTTATTAGTTCTAGCTAAAGAAGAGGTCGGCGCAGACATGCTTTTTAAAGCTGGATGTATTACGAAAATTTCTTCAATTACCAAAATAGAACAAGACCCCGAAATTTATTGCAATCTAATTCGAGTCGTTGGTGAGTTATGTGGTAGATCCGTGGATCGAACAAAGGCAGTATTGAGGGAATTGGGTGTACCATGGTTTCTACATGTCTTAGATCACAGGCACGAAGAACGTGTTACGGCAGCCCAATACTGTTTGCAAGCTATTATTAATTCTTTGTCGGGCATGGAAAACAAGCCAGAAAGCAAGCCAAAAAAAGAACTTTGTGAGCAGAATAAAAAAGAAATTGACACACTCCTTACTTGCTTGGTTTACACTATAACTGATCGGACTATTTCCGGGCCGGCACGTGATGCTATTATCGAGTTATTGACCCGTAATATTCACTATACAGCCCTTGAATGGGCGGAGAGATTAGTTGAAATACGTGGGTTACATCGGCTATTGGAAGTATGCTCCGAGTTGGAGGAATACAAATACGAGAGTGCCATGGAGATAACACCATCTTCACGTACAATTGCTTCGGTGTGCATGGCTCGAATTTTCGAGAACATGTACTATGATGAGGCAAGAAAGCGTTATTCAGATCAGATTGATGAGTATGTTAAAGATAAGCTCTTAGATCCCGATATGGAATCAAAAATTCGGGTAACTGTTGCTATTACTTCATTGTTGTCCGGTCCATTAGATGTGGGAAATCAAATTATAGCAAGGGAAGGCATTTTACAAATGATTTTGGCCATGGCCACCACTGATGATGAGTTGCAACAACGCGTTGCTTGTGAATGTATTGTAGCTGCAGCTTCTAAAAAAGACAAAGCCAAAGCATTATGCGCTCAAGGTGTAGATATATTGAAAAACCTGTATAAATGTAAAAACGACAATATACGCGTACGTGCGTTGGTTGGTCTATGCAAACTTGGCAGTTACGGTGGTCAAGATGCTGCCATACGACCGTTTGCTGATGGTGCTACAAGTAAATTAGCCGAGGCATGTCGTCGTTTCTTGATCAAACCTGGTAAGGATCGTGATATTCGCCGTTGGGCTGCTGATGGGCTGGCCTACCTTACCCTCGATGCGGAGGTAAAAGAGAAACTAATTGAGGACAAACCAGCAATTCATGCTCTCGTTGATTTGGCACGCTCCGGCGACCAGTCTTGTCTTTATGGAGTAGTCACCACATTTGTTAACCTCGTTAATGCCTACGAGAAGCAAGAGATGTTGGAGGAGATGATAGAACTAGCGAAATTTGCCAAGCATCATATACCAGAAGAACATGAATTGGATGATACGGACTTTGTAAACAAGCGCATTACTATTCTTGCTAATGAAGGTATAACAGGAGCATTATGTGCACTTGCTAAAACCGAGAGTCACAACTCTCAAGAGCTTATTTCCCGAGTACTAAACGCTGTATGTGGTTTACAAGAGCTACGGGGTAAGGTTGTGCAGGATGGTGGAGTCAAAGCATTGTTACGAATGGCGTTAGAGGGTACAGAAAAAGGAAAACGTCAAGCTTCACAAGCGTTAGCGCGCATCGGTATTACAATCAATCCTGAGGTAGCGTTTGCTGGACAGCGTAGTTTGGATGTTATAAGACCACTGTTGAATTTACTGACCCAAGAGTGTACCGCATTGGAGAACTTTGAGTCGCTTATGGCACTAACAAATTTGGCAGCGATGAATGAGAGTGTAAGGCAACGTATCGTTAAGGAGCAGGGTGTTTCGAAAATCGAAATTTACCTGATGGAAGATCACTTATACCTAAAGCGGGCAGCGGCACAATGCATCTGTAATATGGTTATGTCGGATGAGGTTGTGAAGATGTTCGAAAAACCTAACGATCGTGTTAAGTTTCTTGCATTGCTATGTGAAGAGGAAGATGAGGACACTGCAAAAGCTTGTGCTGGGGCATTAGCTATGTTAACCTCAGTTTCCAAAGTATGTTGCGTAAAAATATTAGAAATTAGTTCTTGGCTACATGTTTTGCATACGTTAATTGCCAATCCAAGTCCCGATGTCCAACATCGTGGCGTGGTAGTTATATTAAATATGATCAATGCAGGCGAGGATATTGCCAAGAAGCTTTTCGAAACAGATATTATGGAACTTCTTAGTGGTTTGTCACAGTTGCCAGATGACACTCGTAATAAAGCTCGGGAAATCGCTCAACAGTGCCTAACTGCAGCAGAGCGCTATAATCTTATTGAAAGGTCGGTTGATGCCGTGGTGCCAGATGTGTTCCAAGAGGCGGCGCGAGTTGAAATAGACGAGCAATAAACTGCCTCTTACGTCTTATGGAGAGATTACAATAAGTGCCAAAAGAATTGTATCCGTAATTACTTATGTGAATATTTTTAAGCTATTACAATATACACGTTGCTCTTTTAGTTTTGTACTAGTACTAGTAAACAATCATTTATTCATTTTATCATTAAAAATTTGTATGAAATTGCAGAAATTTTATCCTTGAAAATTATACGGAACAAATAGTATTTACATACTCAAACATATGTGCATGAATGCATCTTTTCAATCTGTCTAAATTAATGCGTATTGCATTAGGTTAAATATAAAAGCATCTTATATACATACTTATTTCTTTAATATTTGTTTTTGTTTCTCAACGATATTTTGTAAAACTGCTTGGTGATTGAGAAGAATAAAAATATTTAAAATTGCTTACATCAACATTAACTTCAATTGCACTGAAGCTGTAATACCCTTTACAAATAATGGTTCGCGAATATACAGACAGACGGACATGGCTAAATAGACCCAGTTTGTCACCCTGATCATTTATAAGTATATTTTATAGAGCCTCCGACGTTTTCTTCTGGAGAATTAAGTAACTACTAGTAATTCAAATAAGATATAACATACTGTATAGCGCTTAGGCCAAACACATTGCGACCATTAAAAAGGCAGACAATTTGTATGTAAATGGGTACCTACCAGCATTAATGAATGATAGCAAGATCAAACCTTTAGACACTTTATCTAATATTTATTTTAAATAAATAAATTATTTATGCCAATAGTAAATCAATTAATCCATATCTTCAAAGTATTCACGTACATATATATTTATAATGAAATAAAATTTACAAATTCTAATATAATTTCAATTATTTATGAACACTTCATGTATTTATATTACAATTGTTTTTTAAATTGAGTTGTAGCTGTTTATTTAAATATTTTTATAACTGCTCCATTTTGATACACAGTCAATATCGTATCCCTGGAATGTTAACATTTTCAATTAAAAACAAATTAAGACGTGCTTATTTGAAATAATTGTAAGATATGATTTCGGCAGCAGTATTTGTTTGATTTTGGGAATGTGTGCAAATTAAAAACCAAAGTTTAAAGAAATACTTTATTAAATGAGTCGCTTTAAAATGTATAATACCATACTTTCAGTGAGGTTTTATATTAATTCGAAATTTTATTGAAAAAATTATAAATTTTTGATTTGGTCGTCAATTTCAGCGAATACGATTGATTCGATTTGATTGCAATAATACCGAACACGACGTACATTACTTAAAGGATGCAGATATGTAATTCTGTTTTCACGGAAATATACAATTTTTATATATGTATGTTATATAATCACCTGATACAATTCAAGAAACCGTTTTAATAAAATTAAAACTTTAACTACATTTTATTTACTCTTTAAGTATTTACTTGACTAGAGAAACAATCCAATCGGCATTTCGTAAAACTTGATTTATCTTAAATAAGAATACCTTAATGTACATATGTATGTACTTATAAATACATTGTATTTATTATAATAGATAAATTTACAACAAAATTAATTGTGAACAAATTATAGCACAGTGCATGCGCATATACTTGTATGTATATGTAAAATGTGTGTATGTACTCTGTAAAAAATTAACTTACAGCTATTCCTAATTGTGTTTTTGTTTACAACTTAAAATGATAATTTTTATAAGCCAAATTGATATTGCACAAAACGCAAACAATTCAGGTTATTCGAATCATTTTAGTTTATCCAGCAACTTCTTTAATTACTTGCACACATTGCACATAACTGTATCCAAATAATGGTCTTCAAATTGTTATAATAAAAATACTGAGACTATATACATTCAAATGCAACCCATTTAAATAATCAACAAATGATGAATATGAATATCTTAAAGTTCACACATTTTTGCCGGAACTTCATTTTTCACTCTTCTGTGAACCTGTGCGACTATGTGATGTACATAGGTGTGGGTATTCAAAGTGCTTCTTTTTATTGATAATTTTAATTTTTGTTATTCCTAGCATTCGTAAGTAAATACATATTTTAACTCATCCATCGGGTGTATATTAATAAATAACAACAACAAAAACAATTCAAATATATAGTACCCACGTAATTTGTTTATACATGGTAAGTACATATATACATATGTAAATAAAAATGTGATTGCTCATATATAGGTATAGTAAAGCGGGCATTGCTAACTACAGTAAACCCATTTGCTTTAAACCAATACATACGTACATCTGTCATGTTAGTTTTGTGTAAATACAATTACGAATAACAACAATAATTTTACATAGCGAAGCGTCAACGTCCAAGCTTGAAATTTTCAAAGTATACGAAAAAGCAGAAAATTAATAAATAAAATTTAAAGTTTTTATTTCACATATATACATGGAATTATCTCTACCAACCTTCTGACTATAACTAAGTCATAACTTTGCCTGTACACTACACCACTTGTACGGTAGCAAAGGCACTGAATGTCACCTTCTTCGGGAATTCGGATCCTGGTGAGCCACGCGTCTTTATTACTGGCTTCAGCGGATGTCGGGGCTTTAGTGTTAACAGGCCTGCTGATGCCGCTAATTCTTTTAATCTTTGTGAGAATCCACTCGGCGAGTTTATGTCTCTTGTTCCCCCGCTGTTTTCGCTGTGATAACCGTCTACATTGTCCACACTTCCGTTATTATTGTTGTTACAAGAAGAAATGCTCACAACATTCGCCTGCGATAACGGTACATTATTCACAGTCGTGGCCGTATGCAACCTATATACTTGTCCATTCGTGGATGGATAAATTATACTGGAAGCGCCACTGCCGTTGGACGAGGTTGCTGGAGTAATGTATCTGTAAGTATAAAAGAGAAACTTTTCATAAGAACTGTTCATTATGTTCTTTTAGCCTAATTGCACGAAACCACACAAACGATTCCAATGAAACTTTCAATAGTGAAAAGTATAGTTTATTTTTCGAATATCCAAATGTAGCAAAAAATTTTGTGTACTATATACATAGGTTAGTATAACCTTGCGTATTGATTAAAATAAATATGAACACATATATCCCAAAAATCCTTTTTCCTCTAAGAATGATAAGGGATAAATTGGCTGCATTAACAAATCATGATTTGAGCTTTAACTTTTCACCACACATGTTTCTATAATTGTTTACCTTTTCTTATTGCCACTTCCCTCCAGTTTAACTAATTTGAGCGACAAACTTAGTTGATGAACGTTTAGTAGCGTTAAGTATTGAGGAAAAAAACAAGAAAATGGAAAAAGTGTTTTTAGTGGAAACAAACAGATTAGTTGATCACACGTACAAATCAAGTATGTTCATGTACCCGGCAGGAAATTCATCACCATGTTTAAAAAAAGCTCAAAAGAATTATATCTTATTTTCAATTATTCCATTTTATTTCTCTATTCGTCTACCATTGAATACAATACAATATAGTTAGTACATTAAACTGATATCTACAAGTTTCTGGGAATGGAACGTCAGCCCTGCACCACGGTAACTTTAAAACTGACGCAATTAATGCTATTGAGATTCCAAAAAAAATTACGAATTGGGAAGAATTTTACGAATTTTCCTTGGAAACTAGGGAATTTTCCTGCAGGGTAAATATGAATATACATACATAATTTTAAAATCAGTATGTATGGTAAATGTTGGGCTTAGAGAGATAAACAAGTGAGTCAGTGATTCAGCTCTTAGAAAAAATAACACGGTGCGTTGGTAATAGTATCTCGACTCAAGCGCTCACACAGATCATAAATTACCATATATACGAGTAATAGCTGCTAATTGTATTAATTAACAGATACGCCCCTTGTTCACGCTTGTGATGTATGGACGTTAGCAAGAATGAAGATTAAAACGCATGCTATTTGAAAATATAATTTTAGACATATCGGATATTAGAAATTATTTGGTATTCAAATTTTACGGGGTAGGAAAAATGTTTTGAAAAGTCCGAAAAACCTTTGAATTGTACTTTTGGTTTTTAAAGCAATAGCTTACATTATTTTTCTTTTTGTCTCCTAAAATTACCATTGGAAATGAACTTGATAATATTGGTAAAAGGATTCAGGTGGTATAATTACTTGCCATTTAGTGACATAAACACTAAAAAATGAAAAGCGAGTGTTGTTGGTATGACATAATACACAACACTCGCGTTTCATTTTTCGGACGCTAAACATATAAGGTGGATAGTGCTGGAAGATAAGCGTATGCAAAGAAATATGATTTTTTCAGAAGGCTATTAAAAGAAATTATATAATAATATTCTTAAATGTTTTCACCTCACCACAACTGCTTATTGATAAAATAATAAACTTGTTCAGGTAATATTATATGTATGTAAGTAGTTACTCAAACTGGCGACATTGTGCGAAATATAGAAAACAATACGTTTGTACTGCTGCAAGTGTGGTATGTACATATACCTATACCTATATATAATTAATGAGTTGCATTTCGACTGACAATCTCATTCCAATATATACATATCTCCACGTACACTTGCGTGCAAGAGATTGTACGAAAAGTTCATAACTGCTCACACCCCTTACGTACATGTATAGTATATATTACGACAAAGATGCATTGTGACGGCTTGAGGGCGTGGGAGTCCACCAGCATCTTAATGCTTCCATTGTTTTCAACTGTATTGTAAATGAGCAAAGATTTCCATGACTGTGAAAATTGCTTCGATATTTAGATAGAAATGAAGATGTTTTTGAGAAATTAAGGAATCAAATGCGAGTAGATCGCTCCAACAAGCTGGCCTTGAAGTGCCAATTGTGTGTTGTGTTCAATATTGGACCAAGTATTTAGATTGCCAGATGGTGGATGTTAACATTGAACTTATGACTTTTAAATGTCATTGCCATTATGGCTATGGGAAACGTTCAACAGCAATAACAATAACATAAGTCGACTTATTTAAAGCCACTGATTGGACCACTATATATTTTTAAAAAAGTTCGGATAGTTGTTAAAAGTTTGATGGATTTGTTTTCTACAGAAGATTAATATGTAGTGATATATGTATTTTATTTTTATTTTATTTTTCTATAGAGAAGGAAATACATTTACGTATGCCAGGCTTAGGTATTTCGCTCTGGGTATGTCGGACTTGAACATTAGCCTGGTGACTTGCTAATGTTAATACCGACTAAAACCTCCCCTTTCTTCCGGCCTCATATTCCCCCCGGAACCGCCGCTAGGCATTACTTCGTGGGGAGAGGATTTAGTTACTGCTCTTCCTTCCGATAGCTAACATGTTATTTCTTCTTTCTTCTAGTTGTTGTCTTTTGCTCTTCTTCTTTTGATGGACCATTGAACTATTTAACTTCAAATATACTTAAGAAGTTGAAAAATTTTGGTAGACGAGCATGTTTTTTCGGAGAACTATTGATTTGTAATCTTAACATTAAAAATCATTTATATTAATGCATAATTACACGTTGGTGTAACGGGGTGTAGTCAAGCTTCTGGGTATATACTCAATTCCTACTCTTGTGTCCTCACCGCGAACCCTGGAAATGTGAGCAACCCTTGTGTAAGATGCGGTAGCCAACCCGTGTGGAGCCTAAGGTCACGGCTAAAAGAGAGGAAGCTTCAGCGGAGCCACTCCGACATATTCGTTTTAAGGGATCGCTGAAGTCTAAATGAAGCGTCTGTTCACCAAAGAGAGAAAATTTACTATCGATCGCATTTTCACCATGCGGCAAATCTTGGAAAAGACCCGCGAAAAGAAGATCGATAGACACCACATCGGGAAGGACCTCTCCGAGTCGTTCGATATCTCCCTGTCCCTGTCGAGAGAGAGCTAAATAGAGAAGGTATAATCTTCTATAAGAGTATACAGCTGCTTGCGTACGCCGATGATATTGATATCATTGGCCTCCAAAACCGCGTCGTTAGTTCTGCTTTTTCCAGATTAGATAAGGAAGCGAAGCGTATGGGTCTGGTTGTGAACGAGGACAAGACGAAATATCTCCTGTCATCAAACAAACAGTCATCGCATTCACGACTTGGCTCACACGTCACTGTTGACAGCATAACTTTGAAGTCGTAGATAATTTCGTCTATCTTGGAACCAGTATTAGCACCTACAACAATATCTTGCCAACAAGTGCTACTTTGGACTGAGTAGGCAATTAAAAAGTAAAGTTCTCTCCTGACGAAAAAAGACAAAACTCTACAAGTCCTTCATCATTCCCGTCCTGCTATATGGTGCGGAGGCATGGACAATAACAAGATCTGATGAGTCGGCATTAGCAGTATTCGAGAGAAAGGCTTTGGCAATGGCGAAGACCGCAGTGATAGAACGATAGGCTGTACGAGATATACGGTGATATTGACATAGTTCAGCGAATCAAGAGACATCGGCTACGCTGGCTATGACATGTTGTTTGGATGGATGAGAAAACTCCAGCACTGAAAACATCCGATTTAGTACCCGTTGGGGAGATCAGGTGGAGAAGAACCTGGCTACACTTAGTATCTCGAATTGGCGCCAAATAGCGAAAAAAAACGACTGCTGCGTTGTTGTTAACTTGGCTAAAGAATAAGAATTGCATTATGTGTGTGAGTACTTTAAAAACTAATCACAATTGCAAGGCAAGACATTTGAAGCATCGTGTGTTCGTATGCTTTACACTTATCGTTCGAGCTTTTTCAACATTCAACAATTTCGCAGCATAATTTTCTGAAAGTTTTTCTTTCACTTATGACTGTGCAAGATGGCGGCATCTATGCATATAGAGTGGCAGTTTTCACTGCATAAGAGATGCGAAAGTGCTGCACGCATAGGCAAAAAAGAGAAAATTGCAAAAATGCAGAAATATATTAAAAAATCCTCAAGCGTTAAGTGAAGCGAAGAATGTGCGAGTGAAGTTAGACGAAAATCTCTGCAGTTCACTGCCTTCAGATTTGCTGTGTATTTGCCAGCCATCTGGGTGCAACAAGTTTGTTAGGCGAATCATTAGCGGTAATATGCGGATATGAAATGCGCATGTACGGCGCATTTATTGTGTTTGCATTTCCCTAACTCGTGCACAGATCGCACAGTTAGCAGCTACAGGGGAATTCGTTGCAACAACAATATTAACATCAACATTGGTTAGCAGTAGCTACATTCGCTATTCTTCCGCCTTGGCGTTGTTTGTTTCTACAGTTGTAATTGCATCTACACCTATAAAGACATATACATAGCTGCTTGTGTGTATGCATATGTATATATGTATGTTGCTTAGCTGCCTGCTAACTTGTCTGCACGGTTATTTGGCGCGTACGCAACGCATGCGCATGCCACCTGACACCTCTGATCCGCTCTCCTGACGGTTTGTGCAATTATGCGGCCAATTTTCAGTTTCGCCACACACTCGCTACTCGTTATGGACAAATTTCGTAATGGCTTCACTTTAGAAGACTACAGCACTTTTTTCGCGTCTGTATTGTCCAGCTCTTGATGTAAGAATTTGTTATGCAATTGAATCGTTTACATAGCTTTCTAACCAGTTCTTATTGCACAACTTATTGCATAGACATTAGGATGTATGGAAATATTAAAATATTTGCTGTTTTACTTATCTAAATATGCTCTATGTAGCCCATCTAAGGCTTAGAGGTGGGGGCACATCCGTGTTTTTTATTTTTTATTTTAACATTTCCGAAAAATGTTAGTATTGTGTTGGAATGTTATTACATATAGTTAAAAAAGTACATAGCAGACAAAATAAAACAGCTTTTAGCACGATATACTTGAGTCAGCGATGCTCCAACTTCTCTAACAATGGCGCCGAGAACCTCGTGGATTTGTGTCACGTTAT